TCAAACTTTTTTAATTGGAATGCCTTAAGTTTTACTCCGCTACAAATATTCTCTTCGTGCACTGTTGTAACATTTCGCTCTCCATTCCTGCTAGTTGTGATTGCTATTTCGCTGGTTTGTTTACAATGTATGCTTAGAATATTTTCTAGTTGCGATCGGCTCACATTTCGTCGCTTCTCTTCTGATTTTATTTGTGTTTTCATAGCCTCATCAGATTTCCTTAGATTAGAATGCGCATTGTGCTACCTTTAATGACATATAGAAATTTCACTCTCTACACTGAGTGGGTCGCTCACTTTGCGGCACCCTGCTCCTTCGAATGTTTTCAAATAATTTGAAATTGGGTTACATAATTTTGCAACTAGCATACGCCGCGTAGCACGAGAGCACGTACTGAATTCATTTTTCTCGAATTTCCTTTATCGCATTTTTATTCCTTTTCAATTTGTAATATTCACTCGCTATAATTTCACTCGCTTAATTTGTATTGTCACTATTCTTTTTTTTTTGTAATTTTTTCGTTCGCTTAATTAACTACCGACTGTCCCTGGTTTTGGCGCCATGTCGGCTTTTACGCTTCGCTATTTATTCAGTGCTAAACTATTACTTTAATATTAACTCACAATAAAGTCTTAAACTAAAAGTTAAGGAACAGTTACTTGTTGCGTATATCATGTTGTCTCTCTTATTGTAATAGAACAAGAATAAGTATAAAAGAATATGTTCAATAAGTAAAATGTATGGAATATTACCCATTGTTTTGTACACTTTATACCTAATGTACTTATTTTTCTTTTTCTTTATTTATTTTTGTGGAGGTTACTATTGTATCGGTTTTAATTGAGCTTTTCTTAATGTTGCCTGAGGTAGAGGTGGCATTGTTATTTTCAACTTCATGGCCATAAAAATTTGGTCGCACCAAACGGGATGTGGGCAGCGGAAGGAATTGCAGTATTTGGCACAGAGCTGTTTAAGAAATGCACCCGACTGGTACGTACGCCGAACAGGTTAGAAACTAACCAGAGGCTACAAAGACCGTGTTTTTCATCGCCATCGTTATCAAATGACAAAAACGGGCAGGAAACGCAGATGGATTCAATCACAAATGCCGAGGGATGCACAACGAAATATCAACAAACCGATGCGGGATCTCGTTGACTCCATAGTAAATTTGCACAAAAAAGAAGGGAACTCAAAAAAGCCATTTTTGTGAGTGAAAAGATTACATTCCGTAGACTTTTGAAAGGGATAAATGATCACCCCTGGGAACTAATACGTAAAATAGCAATGAAAAGTTTAAAATCCAGCAGTCAGCCGATGAGCCCAATGTTAGTAGAAAATATTGTTTACACGCTTTTCCCACAACAAGCTGCATTTCAATAGGAAAGGTGAAAGGTGAAGAGAGATATACATAATTAACATCAATGTATGAAATAACTGCAATCGTAAAGCAGACTAACGAGAGCAAGGCGCTAGCTTCAATCATTATCAATCAATTTGAGTTCAGAAAGCAGAGTCACAATGCAGGTGTCGTCCGCACGGTAACTTCTCCCTCCACCGTAGCTTTACAAAGAGAACACTGGAATGCGGGAAGAAAGAATACAGACTTGAAGTGACACTGTATGTTATAAACATTTTTAACTCTACTAAACGGTTATGTGTAATCGCGGCAATGGAAGAGCGCAGATTGCCGCGTTACTTTGTAAGTATTGCGGCCGCCTACTTCAGGAGCAGAAGATATACAATGCACAAAGGAAGTATAGAACGACTGATTACCGAAGCAGTAACACTGCGGAACGTAATGTATGATAACATCTTGCATCTTCCCGTGGGGCATGCAGATGATATTGTGGCGATAGTAGTAGCAAAGCTGTTACAAGAAATTGTGCATCTGGCTAATGACACTTTCGAGACTGTACTCACGCGGCTCTTGTCGGCAGGGCTTAATCTGGCGGTAGAAAAAACAGAGGTGGTCTTAATAACATCCAAGAAAGAGGGTGGCGAGAGATATGCTTAAAGTGAGTGGCGTCGAAATAATATCACGGCGCGTAATTCCATATTTAGGTATCATGACTGACTTCAGAATGTCTTTGCCTGACACCGCATCTCAAATAGCCAGAGAGGGTCGAATGTAGCAAAGACGCTTATGTAGCTAAAACCCAAGCAAAGGCGGAGACACGTTGGAATAGTGGGATCCATAATTTTATATAGACTCGTTGTGTGGCATAAGGCAACGACATCGATCTTCTGGGTGAAAAAGTAGCATAAATAATAGAGACACAAAACGGGCGAAAAAGCTACCAAGTTGCGACGATTTATCATGCCTAATTATATCGAATAAAGTTTGTGGACCGAGACTGGTCTCAATTGCGAAGATTTAAATGCTAGACAAAAATTTGAAAGCAAATTGAATTCAGCGAAAACAGTGAAAAAACTTGGTGCTGCGAATTACAACGTGGGGTATCCAAATGAAAAGTGCACTAATTACCCTGGATCTGTAGGAAGTTATTATAGATGTGTGTCGCAAAGAGGCAGAAACGAAGAAGTTTGGAAAGCAATAGAACAAAAAGCACTTGTTATGATTAACTTGAGCATTAAATCAAGTGAGTTAATTGACATTAAGGACTGCACAACAAAGGATACATGGGATTCATTAAATAGGCTTTATAACGCAAATACAGCCTGCAGTATGGTAAACCTCTTCAAGAGATTAATGCGTTTCAAGATTAGTGCTAATCAGAAAATATGTTCACGGAGAGATTTATGGAGAATTCCGTGGGATAATTAATGATTTTAAAAGCATTAATATTCAATTGAATCAAGACTTTGTTGCTGTTTTGTTGCTATGTATATGATCGAAACAAATGAAAATTTTTTCCTTGCTATCGAAAGTGGAGACAAATTGCCTAAAAGAGAACAGCCCATTTTGAAAATTCTAGGAGAAGAGCACCGTCAGGGCGATAGGAACATGAGCAGTGATCGGGTGTGTCCGGCTAGCGAGAAAACTAAATGAACGTAATAGAATTCGCAAAAATAAATTTATCACAAGAAATAGTCGGTGATGGGAGAGAGAGAAAGAGAGAGAGAGAGACAGAGAAAGAGAGAAAAGAGAGAGGTGTACAGCAACAAAAGTGCTACAAATGTCGACAAAGTGTTTATTCACAGTGCAACAAAAATGGTGGAGACTCTGCGACGCTTGCACAATGGGCAGAAACCACCGTACTTGTTCAGAAGAAGAGAATTGCTTAACTTGCTTCAGAATGGGAAGCATTGTCACCACGGATTTCTGCACTGCGAGAGTTAAGGCTACAACAGTCTTCTGAACTACCTTCCAGTACCCAACTTTTAGGCCCTTGGTCTGGCTCTCCACAATGTTTACCATTGGCTCTGAGCTGCATGAATCGGCAAAATATCCAACGAATGCCCGAGCACGAGGCGTATCGTTGTCAGATGCGGTTTTTAGAGCGTCATCTTCATTGTGTCGTCCTTTACTCAACGTTTTTCCACGACGTTTTCGAGTAATTGGCCGAAATGATTCCCACCCGTATCGATTCTGCATCGTCTTTGCACGTGGGGGTAGAGCCAGACGTTAGTATTGGCTGCTGCATGTTTTGATGAGTTGCTGGTATTAATGGACGCAGAATCATCCATCCTATCCCACTTATCTCCAATATTGGACTTCGCCGCATCAGAGAGTCCATCCGAATTCTCTAATTCCTCCAAGCTCATACCGCTGTTTATCATTGGCTCGGACGGGACGGCGGCTAGCTCGACGTAGCCTCTTCTTCCTGCGGCGACCTTTCCCTCTCTAAATCTTTGCTCATTCTGGGGGCTCATACAAGCATACCGTCCGAAGTTCATTTAACTATTTCCTCCTGTCGTCCCATGATACGGGGAATACGTCCTCCTCCGCAATCGGTGTGTTGAGTCTAAACTCTCTTCAGGGATTGAAAATTTTTGTATTCTTCTCTGGCGGTTCGGAAGTTGCGTTCCGCAGAGGGCTAACTAAACTAAAGTTGTGCTAAAAGAAAAGGGAAAACCGAGGCCTTTTAATTCGAAAGGAGCCGATTGCTTCCCCAGGTGTCGCCAGGTATCTGGACTACATTTGAAGACACACTCCTGGCGCGTTAGACTTGACTTATGCCGCTAGGAAATCAAACCTGTTTACATCACAAAAGAAGAATAGCCCGGCCGATTTTCACCATTGTTCAAATGATTATTCAGAAAATGTTGATTGATAGCCATTCTGCTGCCTTTAAGCTAGATTACGTAAACAAACATGAAATTTGATTTCATTACAATTGAGCCAAGACACATTATTGACAGCAGCTTCCGTTTAAACATAGATACAGTCATATGAATTAGGTGCAAGCTTCCATTCACAATATTGATCTGATCATCCAAACTGGACTACTCTTACCTTGCATATGTCATCTCAATTTTATAAAATTTGGGAATTTTCAATACGGTTTGCCGTAAATTATTGATGCCAACTAGCAGGCCGCTCACTATAACACCTGACCATTTTAACCAATTCAACCTTCATATCGCTCAGATGTTATTGTTATACATTGTTAAAACCCCGCTGAAGGAGATCATAACATCCCCTACTTACTAGGCTCTTCTCTTGCACACACAGAACGTCTCTCTTTTCAGCCTAAGCGTAGAGTTAACTAAACGTTAAGGCGGTTTTTTCCTTCTTAATTATACGAAAGCTTCCCCTCTGTGTAAAAAAATTATTTCGTTTTCAATCTTTATCTAGCTGTAGTATTAGCAATTTTCGGATCTGCTTAGACCGAAAAGCAAAACAAATGATGCTTTGTTGATTTCTTAGTTCCATTAAAATACTTCTGCCGGTCTCTGTATTTGTCACAGACAAAGTAGTTTATATTACATTTGTATATCATTATAAGCACAATGGAAAAGGTTTTTTTTTTGTACGTTCTTTGCGCGGTTCTGTTAAAAGCGAGAAAATAAAAAAATCTTTTGTATTTTTGTAGCTTTTTTCCGTCGTCGTCCTTGGTTGCATATCATCGGAAGGTTGGCGGGTCGATGAAGAAGGCAAAGACAAATGTCTTTTCAATGACGATGCGATGGCTTGTAAGTTTGGGAACACAGTCGGTATATTTGGTTTCATTGCTTCAATCGCTTTCATTGTTGGCGAATATCTATTTGAACGTATGTCATCGGTGAAAAGTCGGAAACGTTTCGTAATGGCAGATATGGCTTTCTCAGGTACTTTGAAAAATAAAAAGCATATATATATATATATATATATCGCAATTATTTACAAAATATATATATATAACTTTCAGCTTTGTGGGCTTTCATGTATTTTGTGGCGTTTATCTATTTATGGTCACAATGGAGTTCAGCTGAAATACCACCTGGTGGTATTGGTGTAGCTAACATGCAAGCCTCGATAGTATTTTGTTTCTTTTCAGTGTTCACGTGGGTAAGAGAATTTCTATTGTATTCAATTTTATAAATTTTTCCTTTGGATTCTTTCATTATGAATAAAATCAATAAAAGGCTTTATGCGCTTTTATGGCTTATAAACGTTTTCTAATTGGTGCCGGTGATGAGTTTACCTCCGCCTTTGAAACTGATCCCGCCAATGTGGTGCATCAACAGGCATACACCAGTTATTCAATGGACAACGATAACGATCAATATAGTCAATCGCCATTTACTAATCAACAAGCCGGTAAATTTGATACGATAAATAAGAATCAAATAAAATTTTTTCACCTTTCGTTTGTTTTTTTTTTTTGTTAATTTTTCTTTTTTTACCAAAGGCGTGGATCAACAGCAAGTACCACAAATGGATTATCAACAACCCACCTATTAGAGTATTCAATAAGCAGTAAATGCCGCAGAATTCACTATCACAGATGTGTACTTAAAAAAATATGAAGGGAAAGGCAAAAAAAAAAAAAAAAAAGAGAGAGAGAGAAATACTCCTATTTTTTAATGTAAACATATTACAAGATTTCTAAAATCAAAGCAAAAGTCGGTATTTGATACAAAGTGTAACCGCATAGATCGAAGAAAATTGAAAATATTCAAATTAAATAATATCGCGAAGACAAAAGCTGTAATAAACCAAACACACACACATTTACGCATACCTACGTACATCCATTCATGCATACATGCGTATATATATATATAGTTACACAATAATAATTGTTAAAAGTAAACTCGTACATGGTAAGAAAAGGGAAGAAACATAAAAAAATTTATAATGAATGCTTCAGCTTTAGATGACAAATTTTATATTTTATGGTATCTTACATATATTACTGATTATACATATATAAATATATATATATGTATATATATATATATATATTGATAATTTATATATTTGTCGTATATAAAATTAGATAAATGTATGTACGTACATGCTTGCACACACACATATATGATTCATGATTCCCATCATTAAGTCACGTTTTTATTGTATGCCTTTTAGTTTTATAGATAAAAATCGATAAAAAAAAATTAAATTTTCTTTTAGGTTACATATAATATGTAATTTTACGCTCCTTCAGCTTTATTAGATGAAGATTGTAAAATGAAAAGCAAGTAATCGTTCGTTTAGTCTGATTAACGTGGCCAGGAAAATTGGACAGTGTAGTTGTATGCTTCAATGTTATGGCAGTGAACAAATTGACGACATAACGACGGTGAAAACTTAGCACATTATCTATGCCTCACTTTTCTTGCACGCAAAGAATACGGAAAAAAGTAATACAAGTCTCCCAAAAAGAGATGCGTTTAATAATTTTACATACATCCTCATAGCATTATAAAAAAAAATAATAATAATAATAATAAGGTTTCTATTTTTAGATTAGATGTCGTTATGTTAAACATAAATTTTGTCCTTTTATCATTGACAAACGTGCATTCCCATCAATCATGTTTCCATTGTAAAAATTTCTTAACCAAATCAATTTTCAGTTATGTTATAATAAGGGATAGAGAAAAATGTGTCGTTAAAGCTTACTAACCACTCGTTTAGTGAACGTTTTTGACGAAGAGTTAGCAAGTCTGTAAGCTATACCTTACTCAGAATGCCGCAAATTCATGCATTCAAACTGACTGGATGTTATTACTTAAGCCGACAATGATTTCTGCTTCTTTAGCTAAAAAAAAAGTCCACTGGCAAATATTTGAAAATTTTATAAAGCTGCTCTGCAACGTATTCAAAATGATCCTTTACAATCTTTAAATTCATAAATGCATTGATGCTTCGCTTTATCTTATTAATTGCAGTCTGTCTTATGTGAATTTTGACATGCGGTGAACCTTAGACAACAATTCGGTAACAAATTTTGAAATATTGGAAATTTTGGCCTCGCCTTTTTTCATCTCTCCCATTTGCTCCTTTTGAAGAAGTATTTATATAAATCGATTCGAGTATTTCTTTTACAAAATCCTTAATTATGTGTTATAGCGACTTCGAATCTCTTACAAAAAGTTCCAATAATTTGCACGCGTTACTGAAGCATTCTTTTACGCGACCAAACGATGAGAAAAAATAAATCATATGTCACGACTTAAGTTCAGAATAGATATACGAAAATCAGTCGCAGCTACGTAACCAAATGGCTTAATGGGTAAAAGCGTCTGAACGTTTTCTTCTTTTCTATTTAGTTCTCTGTAGTGCTCACTTTCGCTTTCTCTTCTCCTAATATCATTGAAAAATATTTCTGATGTTCCAAAGCCAATCGTATTTAAGTTGATAAATTGTGAATATATCTTAGGTTAAAAGGTAGAATAACCTTGTGTTACATGTTCCAGAAAAAATATTTATTTTTTTTTGTGAAATAAAAAATTTTTTTTTTCAAAACATATATATATATATATATATCGGTAAAATAATTTATTATTTCATATATCATACCATGTTACCATGCATTTTTTATATATACAGCATGCATGTACATATATATATATATATATATATATATATGCTTATATATATATGTGTACATATACATATATAAACTAAAGCCAAATTATTCAAAAGTAGTACTTATTATTGACTTATTAGATAAGAAGCTAAAAAATTGTATGCTTTTAAGGGCGAATCTTGGATATCCACCATTGAATTAGCAGATCACAAGTACAGCTTGTATTGACTATCTTCAATAGCACTTTATGCTAGAATATGCGAAATGGAATTTGAATTGACTGCTTTCAAAAGCCTTCCTCTCCTGCGGAAGCCGTTCGTTTTGAAATTTATTCCTTTAGCACTTTTAAATGGTTTTAAATAAATTGTTAGCATTAGGATAATGCCAATAACATATTAATATATATTTCGAACATATCAACCTACGATTTCACAGACAAATGTGGTTTAAAAATTGACATTTCTTACTGAAATTATTGTCGAAGAAATCAGCTGAGATATTCCGTTTAAAACGACAAAGGTACTTAACTTTTGCAGTTCGAATTGTCCCGCCTTGCTATTGTTGAAAGTAAAGGTATAAATGAGAAATAAAGAGGGACTTTCAGGATTTTTCTTTATTTTCGAGTTGAATGTAGTGCATCTCTAAAAACATATAGTAATTACTAAAAATTTGTATAAAACAATTAAGAATTATATTAATGTCTCAGGTTACTAAAAAATTAAAGTTTAATAAATATTTAGACTTGTTTTAATTAGTTTCAATATAATTGAAATTCAAATCAATTATTTTATTCTAAAAATAATTTTCAATAATTTACTATTATTAATTATTATTAATTTATTATGATTAATTAGTGCATTAAATTATTTTGAAAAATCGATAAAACAATATAAAAAATTTTATAAAAGAAAAACCAAAATAATAAAGATAAATACATATTAGGTGTTTGCAAAAATTTTGATCAGCGGCTTCATGATAACGAAATGAGGAATACCAGTGCGCATAAGAATTGAATTCGATGATTTTGATCTTCATCTACATAAAATATCTGTTTTCGTCTTTTTATTATTCATTTATTGGCGGTAATTATGCTTCTTCTTCCAAATTCATTACTTTTGCTGTTTATTTGAAGAAATCTGCTGAAGAAGGTTACCAAACTCGTTCAGAGATTTATGGTGATGCTCCTCCATCATATCTCAATTCTCGGTTTTGGGTTCAACGATTGAAAAGTGGCGACATGAATTGACTAAGAATGCCATTTTTTGGCCACTTGTCGCAAAAGTTGTCCAGGATACAATAATTACAGCTCAAATGGGAAGTTCTGCCACACCCAGCGTAGTTACCAGACAAGGAGCGTCCTGATTACCACTTGTTGTTCAGATCGACGTAGCAACGCTTGGCTGGCAAGCGAGTCCGCAAAATTGAGAAAACGTGAAATGGGTCAATGAATGGATCCGACAATTTCGCCAAAAATAATGTAAAATGTTGTAGAAAATGATGGAAACTATTTTGAATTATATGCATATATATATATATATATTGTACCAATTTTCCTCAATAAATGCTTTTTTCAAGTGGAAAAGTGATCAAAACTTTTGCAAACATCTAATAAATAATCATCGGTAACGCATTAAAAATAAAAAAATTAAAAAAGATTTACAATAAAGTACACATTTTGTCGAATATCCGTAAACATGCCAAAAATACAACAATTTTTAAGTTAGAATACGTTTTCTTTGTTACAACAATTTATTGTATTTTATTTAACTTTTTTTTCGGTTCATGCAAATATTGTTCAAAGCAAAAAAACATAAATTATAATAATAGTAATATTGTTACAATCGATTGCTGCTACACACATTCATATACACGAAAATTAGTAAACTGCGATATTATTATTCTCAGTGTAATTCGTTGTCTACTGCACGAGAATAGTTAATAGAATGTTTGAAGGCGGAAGAGCAAAACACACGATAAATCACTGAATAAAACACCATAGAAATGATTGAAAAAAGCTGCATAAAATTCAAATAAAAAAATTAATTGTAAAAACATAGTTATTAATAACAAGAAAATTCTGTAAGGTTCACAGCAAATCATAAATTATAAAAAAAGGGCAATAGAGATCTAAGAAGTAAAAAAACGATATAAAACTAGAGCAGTATATTTGGTTGAAGTTATTAAAAAAATAAACAAAATACAAAAATAAACAAAAATAATGTTATTTGTTTACGAGAAGGAAAATGAGTTCAACTTACGTGCATACGAATCAAATAAATCCGTTTCATCTCATGTCTCTACGTCCGTCTATCTCTCTACCTTAATATATATATATATATGGTAAAACTTAAGCATGTATATATACGTATATATTTATACTATTTTAAAATTCTTGCTACCAAATTTTTGGGGTATTTCGATGAAATTTTTTCTGCTTAAGTGTTTTGAACTAAGAACGAAGGCCATTAAACATTATTTAGATCAGGTTACTCCGGGTATAAACCGGCAGTTACAAGAAATTGTTTTGCTCCCTAGTTATTTGCCCGCAAACTCATTCAATAAAAGGTAAAGAATATAATCTAAATAGTAATAATAATAGAATAGCAAGAATTTATAAAATCAATTTTATTTTTTGCACCTTACAGTTATTTTAGCAGAACATTTACTACGGACTCGTTTATGGCATATACCACAAATATTGTTTGTTTTATTATTATTGCACTGCCCTATTTGACATATTATTTCTTTGTAGTCAATTGCAACTTCTTCGGATAATTGGAATAAAATGTCTTTCCGTGAGATATTCTCTCCTGTTGTTTCCTTATATAATATCCAGGCATTTAATGTTGTAATGGCCACCTTCGGAATCCAGCTTTCACAGCATATTTCCGTGCCATTTGATCCGTGACATCTACGCCAAATTTAATATAACCGTTTCAGGTAAACGTTTGCAATCCTTTTCAATTTTCACTGGCTTATGTTGTTATTGGGTTTACTCTTGTATATGGTCAAAGTACAATTTTCCGTTTTATAAAGTACTGTCGAGAAACGAAACATGCTATCCTTTTTTGATTTTGCAGGTTTAGGTAGTTCTTTCTTATTTTGTCTAATCGTGCCGACTAAGGAAGTTTTTTTCTTTATTAGTTTTGTTGCTAATGACAAACTTGTAAAG